ACTTTTGGCAGTTTGAGCACGGAGTTCATTTCTACCTTAATTATTTTCACTCACATTTTAGGCAGTTGTTCCGATGGTCACAGTGCTCCTTTCTATGGATAGAACTCCTAGTGGTTGGTTCTAGCGAGCTATGTTCATGGAATCCTTTATATTTACCACTAACATTTTGCACCCTGTATTCACCTTGCTGTATTGATCTGAAGGGAAAATCTGTATTTAAAAAAACAGTAAGAATGGTAAGGTAGGTAGTAAGTAAGAAAGAAGACCAAGGTAGGTAGCTAGAGAAATAATGAGGTTTGCATACAAGGATAAATTGTAAACTCAGGATTTATTTAGCTTTAAAGGGGACAGAATCGTAGAGGAGTCAATTGAATGATTTTTAGATCCTGAAGGGCACAGCAAAAACAGATGTTTAAAGCAGCTAATGGCAGGTGCGGTGGCATGTTTCCTGGTGGAGACAAGTCATCATTCCAGTGGAGTCTTCAATGAAACTGCTGGACACCTACAAATACAAGCTCACAGACCAAGGGACTCAACTCACACTGCCCATTATCTCCACACAGGACCCATCTAAACCTTGCCCTGGATTAACAATCCAGGAACAGATTGCTGAATGCATTGCACACCCAGGACTGGATCATCAGTTTAAGTACATCGGCACAGTCCCCGTCACTTCAATAGAGTGACACCAAATGAGCGAATGGCTTTAAACCTGTGGAAATCAGTGAGGCAGGAGACCAGGTTCCAGAATACAGGAGCCAGATCTTAAAAGAGATGAGAATTTTGTGACTGACAAAAATTTAGGATATAGTTGTACAGGGCAAGAAGTCATGGGCTCCAACTACAAGGGAGATTTAGGTTAGACTTTAAGAAAACATTCCTAATTGTAGGAGTAGTTAAACACTGGAACAAATTACCTAGAGGGTCTTGGGATCTCTGTCACTGGAGGTCTGTAAGAACCGGACAGGCAAACCTTTGTCAGGGATGGTCTAAGATCAGGGTTTCTCAGTGCCTGGACTGAGGGCTAGCTTTGGTCCCTGAGATTTCCCTGATATGGTATAGGAAGGCAGCAAGCTGGTCCCTGGTATGAAAAAGCTTGAGACACACTGGTCTGGAGATAATACTTAGTCCTGTCTCACTTCAGAAAACTGGACTAGATGACATAGGCCCCTTTCAATCCTACATTTCTGTGACTCTATGCTAAGAGCCTGATCCAAATCCCACAATCAACAGAAAGGTTTCCACTGATTTAGTCGAGATGCACTGGATTTTACAAAAAGAAATATAAAAATAGCATACTTCAGGTTACTCTATTCAGGAGTAGGAAAAATGTGTTCTTTCCTAGGGCACATCTACACAGCAGGGCTAAAGCCGAAATAAGTTATTCAACTTGAGCTATGTCAATTGTGTAGCTTAAGTAGAAATAGCGCCAAAAGCCTAAATAAGCTGTCTACACATCAGGAAGTCCAAGTTAGAAGCAAATAGGATGTGTGGGTGCATTAATAAGGGGATGTAAAAATAATCCAGAACATAATATAATGACAGTATTTGAACAATGGAGCCCTCGCATTTAGAGTACCGTGTTCAAGTTTTGGGAGCTACTTCTTAAGCTACTGCAGTAACTCCTGATATAGTGGAAAAGAAAACCGGGAAAAGGAATTTAGAAGTTAATACTGGTGAGTTCATGTGGAAAAAAGATTAATAGACTGTAAGAAAGGCTACACTTAATGAAGGACTGAGATCTATTCAATTAAAAATTATCAATGTAAATTATATTCCCTTTGACAAATGTTGCAATACCAGTGCAGAGAATTTAGTAGATAGTGGTATTCTACAAGGTGTTAATGACTACCAACAATCACAAACCTGGGTAAAATTGATGGATATGTTAATAACCATTCTTTTAGGCTAAATGAATGAGGAATTAAATATCCCTTTGTGTACCAATAGCTGAAACAAAAGAAGCCATTGCCCAAGACACATGGCAAGGCCTATGTAGCTGCTAAAGCCATATGGTTCTAGGGATTTCCTTAGGGGAAACACAGGGATTGAGGCATTGACTGGTTGCAACTGGGTGTGTCTAAAGCAGAAAGTCAAGAGGAAGCCAGAGATGAAGTGAAGGTGGCCTGGGAGGAAGTGCTTTGCGACACACAACTCATTGAAAAAGACAATGTGCCTGAAGTTTGCTCCTATTGTGTGCAGGGAAATAGAGCTTTGTTACATGCTATGTAAATAAAACAAGGTTACAGAACAGAAATACCTGTCTGTATCGACAATTTCTCCTTAGAGAGATAGCCTGGCAAGGACCCAGATAAAACCTAATCATTCAGGCCAAGGATCAGCAATAACCTGGAACTGCATGGATCCTACTCTCACAAGATTACTAGCTTCTTCAGGCCCTCGGAGGCAAGAGGCACTTTTGGCAGTTTGAGCACGGAGTTCATTTCTACCTTAATTATTTTCACTCACATTTTAGGCAGTTGTTCCGATGGTCACAGTGCTCCTTTCTATGGATAGAACTCCTAGTGGTTGGTTCTAGCGAGCTATGTTCATGGAATCCTTTATATTTACCACTAACATTTTGCACCCTGTATTCACCTTGCTGTATTGATCTGAAGGGAAAATCTATATTTAAAAAAAACAGTAAGAATGGTAAGGCCCAGAGAAGACCAAGGTAGGTAGCTAGAGAAATAATGAGGTTTGCATACAAGGATAAATTGTAAACTCAGGATTTATTTAGCTTTAAAGGGGACAGAATCGTAGAGGAGTCAATTGAATGATTTTTAGATCCTGAAGGGCACAGCAAAAACAGATGTTTAAAGCAGCTAATGGGTATTTAAAAAAACAGTAAGAATGGTAAGGTAGGTAGTAAGTAAGAAAGAAGACCAAGGTAGGTAGCTAGAGAAATAATGAGGTTTGCATACAAGGATAAATTGTAAACTCAGGATTTATTTAGCTTTAAAGGGGACAGAATCGTAGAGGAGTCAATTGAATGATTTTTAGATCCTGAAGGGCACAGCAAAAACAGATGTTTAAAGCAGCTAATGGCAGGTGCGGTGGCATGTTTCCTGGTGGAGACAAGTCATCATTCCAGTGGAGTCTTCAATGAAACTGCTGGACACCTACAAATACAAGCTCACAGACCAAGGGACTCAACTCACACTGCCCATTATCTCCACACAGGACCCATCTAAACCTTGCCCTGGATTAACAACCCAGGAACAGATTGCTGAATGCATTGCACACCCAGGACTGGATCATCAGTTTAAGTACATCGGCACAGTCCCCGTCACTTCAATAGAGTGACACCAAATGAGCGAATGGCTTTAAACCTGTGGAAATCAGTGAGGCAGGAGACCAGGTTCCAGAATACAGGAGCCAGATCTTAAAAGAGATGAGAATTTTGTGACTGACAAAAATTTAGGATATAGTTGTACAGGGCAAGAAGTCATGGGCTCCAACTACAAGGGAGATTTAGGTTAGACTTTAAGAAAACATTCCTAATTGTAGGAGTAGTTAAACACTGGAACAAATTACCTAGAGGGTCTTGGGATCTCTGTCACTGGAGGTCTGTAAGAACCGGACAGGCAAACCTTTGTCAGGGATGGTCTAAGATCAGGGTTTCTCAGTGCCTGGACTGAGGGCTAGCTTTGGTCCCTGAGATTTCCCTGATATGGTATAGGAAGGCAGCAAGCTGGTCCCTGGTATGAAAAAGCTTGAGACACACTGGTCTGGAGATAATACTTAGTCCTGTCTCACTTCAGAAAACTGGACTAGATGACATAGGCCCCTTTCAATCCTACATTTCTGTGACTCTATGCTAAGAGCCTGATCCAAATCCCACAATCAACAGAAAGGTTTCCACTGATTTAGTCGAGATGCACTGGATTTTACAAAAAGAAATATAAAAATAGCATACTTCAGGTTACTCTATTCAGGAGTAGGAAAAATGTGTTCTTTCCTAGGGCACATCTACACAGCAGGGCTAAAGCCGAAATAAGTTATTCAACTTGAGCTATGTCAATTGTGTAGCTTAAGTAGAAATAGCGCCAAAAGCCTAAATAAGCTGTCTACACATCAGGAAGTCCAAGTTAGAACATTCTTCCTCCGACTTTCCTTACTTCTCATAAAATGAAGGTAATGGGACCCAGAGTAAGAAGTCGTCCAGCTCGACTTTATTTCAACATTATATAGAAATAACTGCTTGCTGTGTAGACTCAGACTATGTTATTTCAGAATAATGCCAGTTATTCCAAAATAACGCTGCTGTGTAGACATAGCAGTAGAGACTGCACCACACAGCTGTCCAGAAGAATTAAGAAACATTCAAGCCTAACCTCCCAACAAAGATTATTGGTTCAATAGGGGACAACAGAAAATATAGGTGTAAATCCTACATAGATGTCAAAGTATTTCCGCAGAGAAAATGTTATAAAAGAAATTTTGACTAATAGATTCAAAAGGCACAAAAATAGACTGGCTCTGCTTCATACATACCAATGCTTAGCTACCTACACAAAATGAACTAAAAGACAACAGCAATTAAAAAGTAACCATAAAACTTAGCAATCAGCTTGCATTATTTACAGGCATTAGAAAAGCAATAGCAAAACCAGTTTGCCCTTCCAAATGTAAACAGAGACCATTTATTATTTGCACTCCTTTGAGTTTGCGGTTCAAATTATCATCCACATTTTTAGATCCTTGTCCAGTCATTAAAGATCTCTATTGGGCATGTTACACATGCATTGTAGTAAAGCCTTCAACCCAGACAGCATGAAGGACGTTTGGTGCATATTTGCACCGACTTATCTGAATAAAGGGAGAACTGTTGCTTTAAAATCATGTTTGCAGTGACTCTGGAAACTAAAGTAAACAAAGTCCCAGGGAAAGTTTTTTGCTTTCCAGCATGCAGTGGCTGGTTACAGAAAGGGCTGAAGGTCGCAGGTACTGATTGCAGGGATTTGCTGTTCCAAGAATCAGATCTTGCTGTAAGTACCTTTAAACAAATCTTTTGGGAATATAGTACAGAGTCAGTGGAGATACATCCTGCCTTCTCTGCTGGTATATGACCACATGGAGAGTATGAACCAGCCATGACAGATTCTCATTAGCAGGTGAGTGAAACTCTATTTCAGGGGTTGACAGGGCACAACCGGGAGGAAGAAATTTCAGCCAACAAACAAGGACATAAATGAGGGGTCCCACCTGGCAGAGACTGGGTGCCAAGGTGTAGCTTAGACCGCTGGAAAGCCAGTGGCAGGCATGGAGCCAGAGCATGACTCACTCTGCTGGGGGACCAGTTTGCACAAACCAGGCATTAACAATTTATGAGAGAAAATGTAAACATCTAAGCCGCAAATCTTCCTCCCACCCACGCAACATCTCTTTTTTCCAGGCCCTTGACTTAGGATGTGAGTTTGCTCCAAACCGCTATTCATCTGCAAGCTCTCACTAAAAATTATTTCCCTTCTGTTAGCACCAGAATGAGCTTTCCCCTTCGGCTGCCAATAGTTCAGCAGCAAAGTTCTTGCTAAGCTGTTCAGCAGCCAATACAGAACCCCAGCAGCTCCCAAACTTTGTTTCACAGCCTCAGTTTGGGTGATGGAGCTTGGACTTGAGCCCTGAGCTCCAGCAAGTCTAACACCAGCCTGGCAAAACCATGAAAATGGGGCCATGACCACACACTGAGAACCACTGGTTTAATTGTTTGTTTTGTTTAAAATGCAAAGCACACAGGGGCTCACAATCTCATAAGAAGACGCTTTCTCTTGAGATTTCAAGTGTCAGAGGTACTGTAACATATTATGTCCGAGACCAGCACTTGGCTGAAAGCAGGAAATTGCACTAAAATGAAAAATAAAATAATAATAATAATAATAATGAAAGTCTAACTAACACTTTTGAATCTGCCTAGTTGGTTCAGGCACACTTGGAGAGATGGGTGAAGGTTCAAGTCAGTTCTGATTTTATCCAGACTGAGAAATATTGATAAGTCCAGTTATGATTGACGGTAAACATAGGCTCATATGCAGAACAATACTGTTAGGGACCAGAAAAGATACACAGAGTACATATTGCTCTCTACTGCCATTGTTAGGGGGACATTTTCAGTGCTGGCTGAAGGGATTAACTACACAGCTTCCAGTAACTGTCACAGACATACCTGGCTCCAGCAGCTCTGTACTGAACATTGCTACAAATGTACAGATAACCATCGTCTATCATGGTAGTACCTAGCAGCAGAGTTGTCAGACGGCTGAGCGGTTCTAGTCCTTTCGCAAGGCAGTGGCCCTGTTACGCCTGAAGTAATGAAAGTTGACAGGAGTCTGTAAAAAACAAAACTGGACTCGGCCCATGGATGAGCCCTCTCCTCCAGTCCCTTGCCACTGAAGCCATCCATCAAGGAAATGCATGAGTACAGGACCGCCAACAGGGGGAAACGGAAGCAATTATCCTGAGGCCCGGTGATTCAACAGGGCCTGGGGCTCCCGACCACTGCTACTGTGGCCAGAGCCCCAGCTCCAGACATCACTCAGGGCTGGGGGGAAGGGGATGCGGTATAATCCATTAAGCCCTTCTGGGAGCACAGAGTCAGCCCCCCATTCACCTTGCCCCAGGGCCTAGCAATTCAGTCAGCCCTCCTGCATGAGCACAAATAAGCCTGGGAGTGCACCCAGAAGGTCAACAAACTTGGGTGTAGAATAGTGATAGAAATGTAGCCATGGGCTTTGCCTATTCAATAGTGAAGCAAATTCCAGAATCAAGGTCATGCTCCAAGGGCTTATCTATACAAATACTTAATGCGCTGCAGGCTGGGATGTCAATTCCCCCTGCACTGGCCTGCGGCACACTAACCGTCCGTGTGGGCCCAGCGGCCATGCACTAAATGTCCCCAGGTGCTTTAAAGAACTGTCAGTGCACAGTGGCAGAGTCAGCAGGGCGTAGATTCAGACCCAGCTGACCATGAACCATGTTGGTATAGAAAAGCCCCAAGAACATTCTGAGCTCTTGCCTCCCAATCCACTGCTTGAAACACACGACTCTGTGGGTCATCTTGCCATTGCCCAGTTCACCCACTCACTTTCTCCAACAAGGAACTGGGGGGCAGCGAGATGCGCCTCGCGCCATCCTCTACAACAGGGGTCTCCAACCTTTTTAAGCACGAGATCACTTTTTGAATTTAAGTGCAATCCAGGCTCTACCTCAAACCCAAACACCCTTGCCCCGACTCCTTCCCACTGCCTTCCTCATCATCCTCACTCACTTTTATCAGGCTGGGGACAGAGGGCTAGGGTCTGGGGGAGGGGGATGCGGACTCTGATCTTGGGCTAAAGGATCTAGAGCGTGGGAGAGGTTCTGAGCTGAGGTAGTTGAGCAGCTGTGGGGGTCAGGGTGCAGGCTCTAGAAGGGAGTTTGGGTACAGGAGGACTCAGGGCTAGGGCAGCAGTTTGGGGTGCAGGATCCAGCTGGGCACCGTTTACCACAAATGGATTCTGGGTAATGGTGCAGGGGACTAAGGCAGGCTTACCCCTATCCCCAAAAGCAGTCAGAAAACTCTCTCCATTGCTGCCCCCTCCCCCGCTCTGTGGAGATGGGGTTACAGGGTGAGGGGAAGGGCACCCTGACATCAGCACACCCTGCTCTTCTTCCTGTGCCCTGCATAGCAAGCAAGAGGCTCCTGGGGTTGGGGGGCAGCTCCAAGACAGAGGAGAAGTGCCGGCACTGCTGAGAGGGGCAGATGAAGTGCCAGCACTTGAAAACCTCCTGGTTAAACCTGTCAGAATCCCTTGTCAGAGGCTCCAAGATCTACCGGTAGATCCCGATCTACTGGTTGGTGACCACTGCTCTACAAGAAGCAGCCGTTACTGCCACTGTATTAGGCTGGAAGAATGAAACAAAATTAAGTGGAAGGGAGAGAGCTGTACAGTCAGTTTCATGTCATGTTGCTGTCAGCGGGAAAGGTTTGAACCTAAGACACGTCAGCCAGCTATTCACAGCACAGTCTGTCAAAGTGATGCCTGGCTCCCACTCCGTTTCAACCCTGCCAGCACTGTCAGTGCGAGCGAGCTGAGTCCCCCCGCTCTCCTCAATACGCGATGGAGCAGGGCTCGAGATGGCGAACCTTCACTCTGCGAGGCACTTGGAAGGACAATGGAAGACAGGCTGGCGAAGGAGGATTCGACTCTGCTGTCTTTTCCTCAGGCTAATACAGAGAGGTGTTGTGCTCGGAGCCAAGAATAGAAGTAGCCTTCTGATAAGGTGCAGGGCAAACAGTGAAGTCAAACCTACTTTAAACTATTGCATTTGGAAGAGGACAATTCTCCTGCCTGTAACTATACTGCTCTGGTTTGTCTGGGAGTGAGGGGCAGGGCGTGTGCACAGGTACCCGGTGATCATGGGGGAGCATCCAATCTTAAAGTGAGCTAACAGTGCACTTTCTGAGGTAGATTCTGAGACTGACCCCCCAGCCCTCTTTCGGGGGCAGTGCTGTGGTTGCATCTCAGGTTGACATGAACAGGGGGCTGACAGACTTGTCAGGCCCCTGGGAAAAGAAGGAGGGTTCCACACACCCAGAAGGGGCAGGGTTGGGGCTGCCAGCCCTCAGTCACCCCGAGTGTACCACACCACACCCCCTCCCGTTCCCTGCCAGCCCTCAGAGCCAGCCAGCACTCAGCAGAGATTTAAAGAGCCTGGGGTTCTGGCCACTGCTGCTGCCACTGTGGCAATGGCCAGGAGTCCCGGGACCTTTTGAACTGGTGGTCTCTGGGGTAGCTGCCCCTGTTGCCTCCTGTAGGTGCACACACCAGCCCAGCCAGAAAGATAGCACTTGACCCTGCTTCCTCATTCCCTTCTCCCTAATGGAGCAAGGGCTAATCATAATCCAGCCCTTCATGTGAGTAGTGGAGGTAGCATGAAGGAGATGGCCCGAGAAGAGCTTGGCTCTCACAGCAGTTCTTTGACTTGGAGAAAACACACGCTGCAGTGACAAGCAAGGAGAGATTTTGAGAACACCCTTAGGGAGTTAGCAATATGGCCAAGCCCGGTAGTGGGACTGGGATCCCGTGACTACCTCAGGACCCTCTGCCATTATAGTGGGAGCAGGTAAAATGGACCTTGTTGCGGGCTGGATTGGATGGGCAATAAAAACCTGGAGTAAAATCTGTCATGAGTGTGTCATGAATAGAATTTCAGTGATGTAAAGCAAGTTGTTTTTCAATAAAGGGTGTAATACTAAAATGTAAGGAGTAGAAAGAGATTTGATGTCTATTATAACAGGAGTTAAAGTATTTTGACATAGTTTAAGCAAGATTTGTGTTATTCTTTTAGTGATCAAAATTGTGTCTGATTTCTATTGTTTTTGTTTGTTTTTAGCAGTGTGGGGGAATCTCTCTTCTGCAGAATTTGTGGGATGGAAGGGTTTTGTGGGTGGGAACAGAAAAAAAATGCAAGAAACAATGCAGGAGTAGATGGGAGTGGGAATTGCAGGGAGAGACAAGAGTGGGATTTTAAAAAAATAGTCCGGTGCAGGACTCTACAGTACAAGTTGCTTTTCATACCCTCCCATGTCATTGCCAGAAACAAGCCTGCTATTCAGACACAGCTTAGACTTTGCCCATGAACATTTCAGCCTTCAGGAATCAAAGGTGACTGAGTTAGAAAGACGTGACAGTTCTGGCCCATGATGACATGACCTGGGTTTTGTTCAGGAATGTGGCCATGAGGAGCGAGTTAAAGACAGACTCGTCAGGATTCATGCAAACATTGCAGTAGATGGTGTGTCTGGTTTGGAGGTTTTTGACCAGGCTGCATAGTAGGTAGTCAGGCCTAGTGCCTTTGGGACAGACAACACTTGCCTTACCTAGGAAGAAAACTAGAGCTGTGCCCATTTCTATTTCTAGATTTGCCCTGGTTACTTGGGAGACGCTCATTATGGAAAAATCAAGCACTGAAGGTTATCTCAGCTGCAGAGGAAAAAGAGCTCACTGGAAACTACACAGAAAGAGCAGTCAGAGAGGATAAGTAACTGAGGCCATGTTTACGCTATGGAGACTACAGTAGTAAAGCCACAGCCTAATCCTGTAGCATAGATGTAGACTGCAGTGACAGGACAGGG